CACGGCCCTTTGGCACAGAAAACAACATTTTCTGCAAAAGAAACCCTTTTTTTGCACAGGACATAATACTTCTACATAGAAATATTATTTCCTGTACAAAAAAAAAAGCTTTTTGCTGCACAGAAAATACTGAGGTTGGGGATTATTCTATGCAAAATTATCAAATGGGTGCACAGAAAACAGCATTTTCTCTGCAGGAAACTGAATTTTCTCTAAAGGACATAGCATTTCCTGGTCAGAAAATAATATTTCTACTCAGAAATATTAATTTTTAGCTCACACAAAATGTGCAAAACAACCATGTGCAAATGTTGCACAGAATAAGCCACACATTCCAAATGGGCTTTGAAAACTTCATAATTTTCAAAGACTTGCTTACAGTGGGAAGAAAGTTACTCATTACTTTCTTCAAGATGAAACTTAATGAAGAATCACATCCTTAATGGTATGCAGGCATGTTCATGTTTTTGATGGCAGCAGGAATTTAAATAACATTATGTGCTATTTAAAGAGGATTAAAACCAGTCTGTGCAAAAAGAAAAAACAAATCCCAAAATGTCACAAGGAGTTCTTTTCTCTTTACTTTCTTGATTGTATGATGGCCTAAAGATTTTCTGAGTTGATGAAAGCACAGAATATACATGTTTTAAAGGTTCAAAAAGCTTCATTTAAAACTGCTAGAATATTATTGTTAATACTGCTGCTGTTGCTCTCTTGCATGATTGCATTATAGCTTCCCTAAATGATTATCATTCAGTTAATAGGCAGGAGATCTCAAAATGGATAAGAAATTCTTATTGGAGACAACAGTCTCCATGGTGCTTTTGTGTCTGGAGGGGAAATTAAACCATCACCATCACTGAAATATGAAATAAGTCCCATGCTTTCTCATAACCTTTGTTGCTCTGATGTGGCTAGAGTCTGGATGTCGGAAGTTGTAGACCAAGTATTGCAACCCATAAGCTTCATGCAACTCCTTGGTCCAAATTTTGTGGCTGCTAAATCCCACATCAGTCCTCCAACACCCCAACCTCAAAAAATAAATAAACAAAAATCAGTGAAATTTTCAGGCCATTTTTGCCTGAAATCACACAGAGACCCTAAGCACTCCCCAGCACCCAAGAACCCTGTGTTACTCCCAATTACCTCTCAATTCTTCTTCAGTCCCTCTCAAAATGGCAACAAGAAGTGACATGACATTTTGCAGAAGAAAATAGAAGTATTTGAGCATGCTGACAAACATGTAGTCTAAGAGCTTCAGGGGGTATTTGTCCCTGGGCTCCATGCGCTTGCCCATGTTAGAGTAAACTAACAATATTTAGAATAAACTAACAAAGTTAAGAGAAGTTAAGAGAAGTTCTTACAGGTTTACATATAAAACCAGTTAGTGCAGGGGAGTTGTTTCTTTTTCTTTTTTCTTTTCCCCAGATATGTTTATTTTAACACAACAATAAGATAAAAAAGCAATATTAACATCAAAAACAATACCACCAGCAAAAATAAAACAAAACCATAAACAGATACAGAAAATATGTACATAAAATAAAACACAAACAAACAATTTAGAAAATGACTTCCAACCTCTACACTTTGGCTGTTCATAGTAATGTTATGGTACACAATCACTTTTGCTTAAAAAAAGTAAAATTTAAATCCATTTCCTTGATTATATTCAAGTTATATTCTTAATTAATGGTATCCTCTGACATAACTGGACTTTGAATTTCATCCATTTTCTCAATAAAGAACATCTCACATAATGATTACTAAAATCTACATTGACCTTAGTCTTATCATACCATAAAAATTTATGCCATCCAAAATGTAAAACATGCCGTTCTATTTCTAACAATCTTTTGTTTCTCAACATTATCCATTATTTTAACCACACTAAACAATATGCAGTGAAGTATATTTTCAAATGTGGCAATCCAAGATCACCTCATCATTTTTGCATCTTGTGATATTTTCATCTTCACTCTTGCTTGCTTTCTTTGCCAACTAAACCCCAATAAATCTTTCTGCCATTGATTAAAAAGTACGTCCTCTTCGTCTGGACCAGAAAAAACATTCTAGATGACACATCCATTTTTATTACAGAAAGAGACAAGTTTAACCCCCCCCCCATCTCTAAGGGTCCTTTTTTTAAAAGAAAAAAACAAATCCATTCCACATCATAGTGTAATTATTTTGAAGCAGTGTACAATTTGAATTAGTCATCATGATGCCTAAATATCTCACCTTCTTTTCAATTCTGTAACCAGTTTTCCACCTTAATTCTATTTGATCTTTCAACTCCATATTTTTATTCAGTATCACTGTCTTTTGTTCATTGGTTTTAAAACCAGACAAATCTCTAAATTCTTTTAATATTTCTTTCAGCCTCCCCACACTTCCAGTGGATTTGTCAAAGTTAATACCAAATTGTCTGCAAATGCCCTCAATATGTATGCTTCTTTTAAAACTTTAATACCTGTAATTTTCTCCTTCCTCGCAGCTCTATTCAAAGCCTCAAGTACTAAAATAACCAGCAATGGAGACATTAAGCATTCTTATCTTGTCCTTCTCTGTGTTTTTCATGGGTTAGATAACTCGCAATACACTATTATTTGAGCAGTTTGTAGTGAGTAAATTGATCTTCCCCATGTCCTAAAGTTGTCAATGATCTTTTTAAAAAAAATAATGGCAAGAGTTGGGGAACTTGTAAGGGATTCAGGGTTTGCCAAAATGGGGACCAGAGGCTGCACGGGAACCCAGGGTTTATAGCACCATGCAAAATATTACGTAGTTTAAATTAAATAAGAATCAAGAAGAGATTAATCAGGATTAAATGCATTTAGATTTGGCCATAGATCTATGATGAAAACCTGATTATAACTAAGCAGTTCTAACTCAAAGATGCACTGTTTGTGGGGGATTAGAATTAGGCACACATTTCTTCTGCCGGGATAAATGCTTTTCCACCAGCAGAACCTTGTTTGCTGGCTCATCCCTTGGATCTTCCAAAAGTCAGATGAGGGAGGAGTTGAGTTTGCCAGATCTAACCCTAAGAGTACAATGCTAACTACCTATGTTGGCCCATTTATTTATGGACAGGGATGAAATTCATGATGGCTAGACTCTAATATAAAGACCACAGCCCTGAGTTTGCAGGACCTAAGCAGAGTTGTTGAGGATAAGATGTTTTGGAAATGCCTCATTCATAGGGTTGCCATGAGTTGAGGCCAACTTGAAGCAAGTTATCAATGACTACTACTACTACTACTACTACTACTACTGCAATGAACATTTGGAGCATAGCCATGCAAGGTCCTGCAAAGGACCAATGTGATCTCTGAATTTCTGACAGTTTCCAACCAGGGAAATATGTTGCTTGCTTCCCAAAGATAGCTTAACCCTAATGATCCATGCCTTAGTAATTTCCACGTGCAAATGGATTTTATTGCACCTTTTGATTTGCATTCCATATGCCAGACTATATTATAGTCTATCAATTTTAGCCCCACTGGTAACGTCCATTTTGACTTCCTACTATGTGTTCCACATGGGGCTCCCTTTGAAGACTGTCCTAGAGTTTCACTTCAAGCACCAGGGGTAGGCAACCTTTCCCCTTTAAGGGCCGAGGGACTTCAGCTCCCAGAATCCCAGGAGCTATTGGCCAACATGGGACTATTGGCCAACATGGCTGAGGCTTCTGGGAGCTGAAGTCCCTCGGCCCTTAAAGGGGAAAGGTTGCCTACCCCTGTCAAGCACAATCCTAGCTGCCTCAGGTAGCCCAAAACAAGCTGCGTCAACAATATGCAAGACAAAGATATGCGTATCCAAATCCCTCCCAGCCCACAGATGTGGGGAATCCTTTTAGAATGCCCTTAGGATCACAGAATCATTGAGTTTGACAAGACCACAAGTACTGTCCAATCCAACCCCCTTTTCCTGGCTTAATCTTGTGCCATCTTGTTTCTGTGTTTCTGGGCTGGAGGAGGCTTGGATATGATGTTACTCAGCTCCTCAGTAACCTGCCTCTTTTCAATCTGTTTTTTTTTTCCTTTTTTGTTGGGGAGAGTTATTCTGCTTCAGATCTTACCCCAAAAAGCAGGTCTGCCAGGAGACAATTCTTGGCAGATCTCTGAGATCTGCTGTTAAAAGAGGCTGCTGCCAACATAAGAGATTTGTGCTTAATCCTAATGCTTTGAAACACTGCATTACCCCATATGAGTTTGCCCATGTTTTAAAGCCCCTCCGGGAAGGGCTTTCTATCCTACAATTTTCACAGGCATGCTTGGTGAGGATATGGCAGAGCTTTGTTTTTGGCTGCTCCCAGGCTATGGAAATCTCCGCCACAGAAGACCATTCTGGCCCCCTCCTTGCTGTCTTACTATTGATAGGCAAGGACCTTTTCATTTGATAAAGTATATGGTGACAGGGGTTGCATCTCCACTGCAGAATTAATGCAGTTTGACATTGCTTTCATAGAATCATAGAATCATAGAATCATAGAATCATAGAGTTG